ACACACACACACACACACACACCCTTTATCCCGAGAGCTTGGGCGCCGCCACAGCTCGGATTACTCAAGCGTGCTTTAGCGGAAGCCAGCCAAGAAATCTCCAAAACTCAGTAACAAACAGCTACTCTGGGAAGGTGATCTCCACGGCCACCAGCCACAGGGCTCCATCCCTGAGCTCCTCACGCCGCAGTAGCTAAAACACCCTTAGCTGCAAAGAAAAGACAGGTGTGAAAACAGTCCCTCAGTGAGGACTATTTCTAAGCTCTGGTGGCGTTCAGGAGTTTGAAGACTGAGGATGAGCCACTTAAGGGTTCAGGTTTAGTTCGGATCCCCAGGACTCCGCGGAGGTGGGTGCTGAAGCCCTAGCTGAATTGGCACTCCTGTCCCTGCCTTGAGCTGAGCCGAGTCTCCCAAAGACTAAAGGCTGCTGGTACCGCCGCTGAGCATGCCCGGTTTCACTGCTTGAACCCGTGAGGAGTTGCAACGTTGGGGGTTGATTGGGACTCTTGGTGCTAGAGGCTGGAAGAAAGATGGGAAGGCCAAAGACTAGCAACTGGTACAAAACAAGGGAAGTGTTTGAAATGGGCGAGGCTGTGCTCCAGGGGAAAGGAACAAAAGGTGGGTGGGGCAAAGAGTTACCAGCCTTGGTGTGACCTCCAATGCTACTCATCTCCTGAACACACTAGGCACACCATTCTACTCTCTTCCACTATTTCTAAGAAATTATCTCATTTAGGATGGGAAAGGGTTCAAGGAGCAGAATAGAGTCCTCTTCGTTCTTGCTCTCAGAGCCTGCCAAGGCGGGAATCTCCTGTTACATATACACATCTTTCTAAACAGACCTCCTGGAGACTTAGGAAATCAAATGTGACAAGTCATGCCAGGGGACGGTGTTTTCTAAGTTGTTTTTCTAGTTTTTCTCGTTTCTTTTCCCTTCATTTATGTTATCTCCTCCTTTAACCTAATAGTCAGCCTCTATCCACGCCCCTTTCTCTAAATGGAATTTGCCAAGCTACAACCTACAAAACTACCACAACACAGACGGACAAACCTCTTGTTTCCAGCTGGTGACAAAAGTCCTAAGTCCTCTATCGAAACATGTAGCTGTTTAATAGTGTTGGGGGTTCTTGCAACTCATTAGCCTGATTTGCCTGTGCCTTGAATCAGTCAGGTTCAGATTTTCTCAGTTACAAACTAAAATCTAAAGTAAAAACAATGAGACTGGAACAGAGAAGGGCCAAGAGGGAGGTTTAGATTGGAAAAGTGAAAAAGTGGACTACAATAAATAATGAGGAAATAAACATATTGACTTTAACTTTATGTTGCAGAAAATACAAGCCAAGAAAAAAAGAAACCCTCCCAAATAACCCCCCAAAACCTAAGCAATTCTTCCCCTTTCATGTCAGAGTAATGAAAATGAATTAGAAATGCAAGACATTGCCTGGGAATGTTGAATTTTCAGGTTAATTAGCTTTACTTAAAAAAAGAAACAATCTATGACAACCCTTAGGCTCTTATGGTAGCTTGAGCTTTTCTGAATCTGTACAGTTCCCTCTCTCGGAGCATAAAAAGACACGCTCCTCCAATGTACAGCTTTATTTTCTCCCCTTCTGCAGTATAAAGTAGATCACTCTATCATTCTATTCCCTAGCTGCAGCTGGGCTCATGAAACGTCGGAGTTCCTCTCCCAGGTGTTAAACGTGTGGAGCTATCCGTGGTGCTGACTCTGACTCTGCCGTTAGTAACTGCTCTCCGCCTACATCCAGCCCCAGACAATAGAACTGCAAACTCGGCAAGTGGGCCCGAATATATATATATATCCACATACACATGTCCTCACTAGATACCCACAGAAACGGTGCTATTTGCACCCCCATCTTCTTTTTCTACTTATCTTGTTAGCTAAATCCAAGCTCAAATGCATTCTCCCCAAAATGCACCAAGAACTCCACAGAAAACAGAAAAACTTAACATTGTGCAGATTGTAATTAAGGTTTCATGTACACTATAAAGGCATAACAGTAGGTTATGGCAAGGCAAGGTCGTATGGCAAACTATTTCTTTTTCAAATCACAAGGAAAGTCAGTGAATGAATATTGCTGTAAAGGGAAACAGGCATTTCCAAATGCAGTTTGAAACAGATTTATCTGCCATATGACAAGATGTATTGACATGCAAAAGGTAACAGTGCAAACTGTTTCTAGTATGAGTTTGATACTTTCACAGATTATTGAGTCTCAAAGTCCTTGAATTCTTCTTTCAGTGTGGAAGAGTGGCTTCTTTTAAGGGTGGAAGAGTGGCTTCTTTTAAGGGTGGAAGAGTGGCTTCTTCAAGAGAAAAAATGGCTTTTTGCTCCCTGGTATATTATTTCTTTCTCTATAAATTTCAGAGTAGTCTCTGTTTGATTGTTCTGAGTAATTAAACACATGATGGTTGAAGTTCCATTGTCTGTGTTCATATTAGCAATCTCTGTGGCTTCACATTTTTCCCAACCTCATTTAGCTGTAAGATTAGTTCTATTAAGGATTCAGTGTAAGATCATAGGACATTCTATAACCTATGTATTGTAATTGATTGATCTGAGCAGAAGATTAAAGGCATCCTGTTTCTAAATTACCCCAGTAATCGTGTTCATGCATTATACATTGGTACAGTGGAGACAAGTACATCAATCTATATTCAGCCAATAATAGAATCAAACCAGAGGATGGTAATCATGGCTGCTTGCTGGCTGGAAAATTACCCCTCCCCTCATCCCCATGATCTACAAAAGCACATTTTAGATACTGCGTTGAGGACAGATTTTATAAGTTGTTCAGTATTTGGGGCCTTTTTTTTTTTTTTTGGAAGTCCAAATATTGAATAAAGTACATAAATTAAATGTTGAAATCCTATCAAGTGTACAGTTTAATACTCAAAATGATCTGCTTATGGGCAAAGATACAGTTTATTTATTTATTTTGAGAGAGACACAGCAAGTGGGGGTGGCACAGAGAGAGCAGAAGAGAAAGAATCCCAAGCATAAAGCCTGACATGGGGCTTGACTCCACAAACTATGAGATCATGACTTGAGCTAAGACCAAGAGTCAGATGCTCGACCAACTGGGCTACCCAGGTGCCCCAGATTCAGATATATTCTTAAAACTACTTAATCGTCCCTGTTACTTTAAAATTAAGTAGTTTAGTATTCATAGTGTGTTAGAAACTTTTTAACAATGTTTACTACATAGTAAGTACTCATAAATTTCATACACACAAAATTCTGTATACAGGCCCACAGAATTAATGGAGCCCTGCTTAAGAACCTTACATTTGAAATTATTTAGGTATCATACTTCAGTGCTTGAATCTTTAAGGAAATAGTAGCATCCATTGTGGGCTATTTAAGCGGTATTCTTATACTGACAAAGAATAAAAACTTTTTGAGATCAGATAAGCAATGTAGTTTGTTTCATATTTTTTGAATTATGTAGAATATAAATCAATGAAATTAAAGTGAAGTCTTCTCAATTGGGTAAAACTAGTTAAATAATGTCATGGCCACAATGTAGCATTATAAAGGTTATTTTAATGTGGCCTTCTATGGGGGTCCTGGGTATTATCCTAGTAAGTGGGTCACATTTAACCTAAGAAACTTCGGACTTTACAGTTACAAGTTAGGCAAATTTTGGCTTGTATTATTATACATAGCTCTAGAATATCATAAGAGGCAGAAATTTGGAGGTCATTAAAACAATATAT